AGGAGGGGGATGAGGGGGAGGAGGGGGGGGAGGGGTCCTTAGTCCTAGCTGGGGAATAAAAAAAAACAAACAAAAAAAAAAAGAGAGCAAAAGCAACAGCCGGCCTCATTAACTGGAACAGTGTTTTCCTGGAGTTAAAACATTTTACTGCAGCGGAGCTTCAAGATACGACGTACTGGAAATACTACTCCAAATACCAGTTAGGAGTACGCAACTTTTGCAGGATTTTCAGTGAATATAAGATGTTTATTTTATATTATCAATATATTTGTTTACACAGCGGAACATCGAGATACCAGCATAATCCGTTTCCAGGACCGAGCTCAAGCTGCTCGTATCTCGAATCATTTTCAAATCAAAAAATTAACCCTTATTTATTATTTCCTTACCTTCGAGACGGACGATACGGTAGCGGCTAATGGCGGCATGGGAGGAGTGAGGGAGGGAAGAGAGTTGGCCCGCACGTAGACACTTGATTCCGTAGCGTACCTTACACGTACGCTACATTAACTTAACTTAACGTATTTTTTTCGCAGACACCACGCTCATATTTTTTCGTCAATTTCACGCTTCATTTCCATGGACGTCATGCGTTTCTTCTTCTCGCTACCGTACTATACACAATACGGAAGACTCGCGGGAGTTGCGCACACTCGAAGTGAACGAGTGAGGCGGCGTGGGCTGCGCCGATGCTCGGCCACCTAGCGTTTGCGTCTGTAAGCGCGCTCGTATCTCAAAATCTGTAATCGTATCTCAAAGCAAAATTTTACTCAAAGGCTCGCTCGTATCTCGAAATACTCGTATGTCAAGACGCTCGTATCTCGAGGTTCCACTGGTATCTATGTTTTTGTTGTTTAGATGGGGGGTTAATTTCATTAAATAATATGTTTTTTTTGGGGGGGGGGCTGGAACTAATTAATTGCTGTTGTGGAGCAGTTTAAACTCGTGTCAATCTCACATAAACACACACATTCACGCACCTCTGTCCTGAGCCATGGGTGATCGGGTGACTGGCGGACGAGCTCCATCTGCTCCGTTCCCAGCATTCTGTGGTGGCGCTGTAGAGCCTGTGGAAAAACATGAAGCTGTCACAGGAAAACTGGCAGAGTCACATGGCATTGACACCGAGTAAAAAAGGTAACAACTGAACAACCCTGTCTCCGTAACAAAACGCTGCTACGAACAAAGAAAAGAGAAAAATGGAATCTCCTAATTATCGGGGAGGCCATCAAAAGAAAATGGATTTCTAATTGCTTTTTATCTGCCGCCCCGAAAACTGAAAGACTGAATCTGAAAGGGTCGTGGAAACAATCCAGCCTTGATATATCTCACACATGTTCGCGCACAAACTCATTATTTTTCTTCTGATTCTTTTCTTCTGTTTTTTTCCCGCCGTAACGTCTGACAACTGCACTGAAGGTAAAAAAAAAAAAAACAAACCAACTGCAGCGTCGTCTTTCCTGCACTTGCCCTAACGGTGTTACCCCTGGGCAGATCTGATGCCCGAGCCACTGCTGCCAGACACCGGGAGGCAACACAATCACTTTACATGAAGTTGTTGGCAATTCGCTATTAGGTAAACGACAAATGCACTTCCAGCAGACACGCTGTATCAAGTCATCGGAGTCCCGGCCGCTTCCTGGTGTCGGCATTAAAACCCGACCGATCCCCCGGCAGAAAAGCTCCGCCATTTGAGCATCATCGATTAGACAGTCGCGCGGGTCTTTGGGCTGAGGCTGTTCCATTGAAATCCAATAGTGAGTTGAGGTTCTGATTAGGACGAGGGCAGATGGAGACTACGGCGGATTGATTTGGCGCACAGGAAGGAGAAAGAAGGCAAATTGACCTTTTATCTGTGGATTCAGACAGGAGACAAAGTGGAGAGAAGAAGTCTGTGTGTGTGTGTGTTCTCTGGATCACATGGTCAACGCTGGGGCTAGCCTAAATATACATGTACATATATATGTATATAAAAATATATGTGTGTAAATATACATGTATATATGTGAACAGAAATAAAAATACATATATAAATATATATTTATGTGTATACAACATATATTATCAATGTATTTATATATTTAAATATAAACATATATATGTATGTGTGTATATATGTATGTATGTATGTAAACATATATACACATCAAGTATAAATATATATTTATGTGTATGCAATATATAATATGTAATATATGTACTTATATATTTAAATATATTTACAAACAAATATATGTGTATAATTAAATATAAACACATATATATTTAAATATAAAGACATATATGTATGTGTTTGTAAATATACAGTACATGTATATATGGAAACATATACACATGTATATTAATGTAATATGTATAATGTAATATATACACATACATATAAATATATATTGTGTATACAATATTATACAATATATATTTATATGTATGTGTATATAAAATATCATATCAATATTATTATATTTTTAAAAATATTTACACACATATATAAATATATGTGTGTATATTTGCACAGCCTTAGTGCTGTAAAATCAGTGTTTGACTTCTTTATTACAGGTGAAACAATTCACCATATTCAATTTTGAGGAGTAAAAAAAAAAGGTGAAGTTTGATGTGGGCGTGCATGTGTGTGTGTGTGTGTGTGTGTGTGTTTCTGTGATGTGTTTGTCCATGAAAGCAGGAATACATGACTGGGGGTGGGGCACACTCTCCACATAAACAAACCCAATTAAGTCAACATAATTGCTTTGCATAAAACTGCATAAACAACATTTCCCTCCACCACGCCGCCCACACACACACACACACACAAACCAACACACAAACACACACCAGCAGTTACACACACACACACACACAAACACACACCAGCAGTTACGCAAACAATTGTAAATAAACATACTTAAGAAAAAAACAAAACAAAACAAAACACACTACACGTCACACACGGAGCCCCTGCCTCGTACATGAACAGCTCCGTTGGTGCTACTTCAAAGAGAGGGTATTTGATTAGTTAGCCCGCCACCATGTGGCAGAGAAATCGTCGAATTGCTCGGAACACGTGATTAGAAAAGTCAAATCGACTTCTTTATCCTGATAATGTCATGACCTACACCAGAGTAAATATATAATTGTTTACAAACTTATTACTAGCTAAAAATATGTTTAGATAAACTGACATAAAAAAATAAAGAGACCAGGTCTTGTCCGCTGTTGTCGCTATTGTCGCTATTGGGATGTCCGATATTAACTTTTTGCCGATATCCAATAAGCCGAACTTTTATCCAAACATTCAATTTCAGATTCCTATGTCAACCGTTGCCTGCTCACTAACGTGGTGGGTTAAAACAGTGTTTCTCAATTATTTCCTGCCCCCTCGTGGACAGAATTAAAATACAATTGAGCGCCTGGTAATATTTATTTATTTATTTATTTATTTATCTGTACAAACCACTGTAAGAGTTAATACAATGAGCTACAGTGCTGCCATCTAGTGACCAGAGGCCTGTTTACCGTTCATAAGGTTCTGTGTTCATGTGTTATGAAGGAGTTAACAGTTACGGGAGTGGGAGTGGCAGTGAGGTTTTGGAGAATTTGGGTCGAGAGCAATAAAGAAGTTCAGAACGAGTTCCTGCAATTGGGTTTCAATGAAATTTCTTCAGAGAACCGAGGCATCTGATTGGTCGGTCGCCGGGGCGTTAAACTATTTTTAGAGCACACGTAATTTAGCATTGCGGTATCAGGTCTTCATTATCGGAGGAAAAACCGATAACAATTCTTACAGATATTACAAAACATGCTAATATCGGGCCGACAATATCGGTCGTCCGATATTATTGATTAATGAAGCCAACAAATAATCAATAGGTAGAACTTTTTTGACAGCGCGTCCTAACACAGAACCCTGAGGTACTAACACGGAACCCTGCGGTACTAACACAGAACCCTGCGGTACTAACACAGAACCATGTGGTACTAACACAGAACCATGTGGTTCTCCGCAGCTCTGCACTATTTAACCAATTGTTCCGTCTATTTGCCAACAGCTGAAGCCAAAGCCTCTTGTAGTTGCGACTTGTGACCACTTGTTGCCGGGTAAAAAAAAAAGTCAACTTCACCGCGCAGTCTTTGCGTGTGTGTTATGTGTTGTTTGTGTGTGTGTGCGTGCGGAGGACCAGCCAGACTGTCAGGGTTGGTTAGCCTGGATGGCACGGTGTTGGTGACAGCAGCTGGGTGTGTGT